GAGCAATAAATCTTGAGAGATAAAAAAAAAAATAGAAGGTCTAGATCTATACTCTCAAAACAAAATGTGCCTCGCTAAATAATCACTTCCGGCACCTCCGCTGTGAAGGGACAGCTACGCAGATTTGCTTCGTTTCTCAGAGGGATAATCACAAAGGCCAAAGTGGGACGGGGACTTCTTGTCAAATATATTTGTCTAAATTCAGGAAATGAATAAATCAAAACTCGGGCTCCGTCATGATGACCTATCTATCTTTTTGCAGGTACTTGCCAACTTTCAACTCTGTAGCTGTCGTAGTCTTATAGGAAAAGTGACACATGTGTTCTCAAGTTGTCAAATATATAATAGATGTATAGATTGATTCTCTATATCCACGTTTGTGGTTCTACACTCCAGAATTTCAAAGATACAAAACCAGTGCTCGCCGCTAGTGAACGAAAAACTCACTTGTTTACAAGAAGACGAACTTTCCTTAGATTAGATCTAAACCAAACTAATGAAATACTGAAAATTAATCTACAGTGACTTCAGGCTCCTCAATAAACTGTGCTCCCTTTAAATGATTCTGAACCACCATTAATTTTGTCAAACTCGAAAGGTAAATGGTTCGGAAGTTTTAGAGGGCCAAAGTGACGGACTTTCACAAATATAATATAACAGACGACTTATATTACTCAGATAATATTAAAGACTCCAGTTCCGTTGCAGTATTTATAAAGCAGGTCAGCATATTGATGGAATACTTACCCCTTGCGTTTGCTCTTTTTTGTAATATCGCAGGATATAGGTGGGTTTTTTTCTTAAATTTGATATTCGTAGTTATAGTTCTGTTTGGCAGGGAGCCTTTTTTTTTGGGGGGGGGGGGGGCTTATTTCTTTCATTCTCTCACTTTAGGGATGGTATCTCTGCCATATTATCATTACAGGTACCGTGTGGAAAGATCTTTTGTGAATAAATGGGGTGAGAAAACGAGCTATCCATTACTTTCCTTTACTACATGTGATCGATCTGCATAAAAATCAGTTATTGTGTCCTTTCGTTCGCCCCGACCTACAGAGGCTCCTAGACCTTGACGGTTTCGTCCATTAGCAAATGAACGTTCTTTTTCGTTATTGTACAGCTCTCGCTTCTTTGTCTATTTACTCTATAACAGATATCTTTCTTGTCATCTGTCTCTCTTTTGACGCTGAAGAGTGCACTGTCATGACTCAGACGTGTAGCAATTCCGGCTATCCTGCAGAAGATTCAAGTGTTGAAGTGTGTGTGTGGGGGGGGGGGGGTTGCTAATAGGTTAGAACAACATAGCACCAGCCTATTTTTCAAACACTTGTCAAATTATGTGCAACCAAAAAGTATGAGATCGACCAGTGATAAAACAGTTTTTCCTTAAACCATTGGCTACCTCAGAATTACAAAGTTCTATCTGCTCAGTACCCAATTTTGATAAATTTGACGTCAAAGATTTTGAGTTGCACGTCATGTCACGCTTTTTGTCAAGTATTTTTTTTCGAATGCAATTCTTTGAATATCTTGATAACGACTCCGAATAATCGTATGATTTTAAAGGAGCAGATTGAACATTTGGTTTCTGACGTCATGGTCTTAGAAACAAAAAACGGCCAAAATGTCAGATAGGACTTTGTCATTCTGAGGTAGCAAAGTGAACTACAAATGCTATGGACAGCGCTACTTTTCGTATTACGTGTGTCCTTGTACGGAACTAGCTGGGCCCCCTTTTGAGGAAAGGAATGATCGGTGCATTAACATCAGCTGAAAGTCATTGGCCTACAATATTTACACTCTACTGAAATAGAGCAATAAATCTTGAGAGATAAAAAAAAAAATAGAAGGTCTAGATCTATACTCTCAAAACAAAATGTGCCTCGCTAAATAATCACTTCCGGCACCTCCGCTGTGAAGGGACAGCTACGCAGATTTGCTTCGTTTCTCAGAGGGATAATCACAAAGGCCAAAGTGGGACGGGGACTTCTTGTCAAATATATTTGTCTAAATTCAGGAAATGAATAAATCAAAACTCGGGCTCCGTCATGATGACCTATCTATCTTTTTGCAGGTACTTGCCAACTTTCAACTCTGTAGCTGTCGTAGTCTTATAGGAAAAGTGACACATGTGTTCTCAAGTTGTCAAATATATAATAGATGTATAGATTGATTCTCTATATCCACGTTTGTGGTTCTACACTCCAGAATTTCAAAGATACAAAACCAGTGCTCGCCGCTAGTGAACGAAAAACTCACTTGTTTACAAGAAGACGAACTTTCCTTAGATTAGATCTAAACCAAACTAATGAAATACTGAAAATTAATCTACAGTGACTTCAGGCTCCTCAATAAACTGTGCTCCCTTTAAATGATTCTGAACCACCATTAATTTTGTCAAACTCGAAAGGTAAATGGTTCGGAAGTTTTAGAGGGCCAAAGTGACGGACTTTCACAAATATAATATAACAGACGACTTATATTACTCAGATAATATTAAAGACTCCAGTTCCGTTGCAGTATTTATAAAGCAGTTATTTAGCACATTTTTGTTGAGGCATTTTTTTAGAATTCTGATTAATGTAGTAAGTGAAACTAGTGAGGGGGAGTGAGAAGAGAAAGAGGGAGAGAGAGAGAGAGAGAGAGAGAGAGAGAGAGAGAGAGAGAGAGAGAGAGAAACAGAAAGACAGAGAGACTGTAAGACAGATAGAAAAAGAGAGAGAAGGGGGGGGGGTTGAAAGATAACTATTGGAACTATGGTTTTTGTACAATTGCAAAGCGCATTTAACACTTTCTTAGTGGAAATGCTCTGTATAAATGTCATCGGTTATTATCATGGTTATTGTTATCGCTGTTGTTATAATCAATAGTTGTTATATATTTGCTGATATTGAAACTTAATAATTATTCTTATTGGGAAAATAGTGCCAGGGCGTGGGTCGATTAACATTGGGTATTTTAATAATACAGTTTGTTGTTACGACAGACAGACAGACAGACAGACAGACAGACAGGCAGACAGACAGACAGACAGACAGACAGACAGACAGACAGACAGACGGACGGACGGACGGTCGGACGGATAGATAGATAGATAGATAGATAGATAGATAGATAGATAGATAGATAGATAGATAGATAGATAGATAGATAGATAGATAGATAGATGCAATTTCCGCCCTTCCCCCCCCCCTGCCCACAACCTTTTTTTTTCTTGCTAGTAAAGTTGTTCCCGCATCCGATCCGGACATTGGGGATTGCCTTGTAAGTGAGACAACTTCCTGGGCCTTCAGCATATTGCTGTAGGGTGGCCGGTTCCTTTCCACGCCGCCTTTACTTCCCCAACTCGAAGTCAGATACCCATTACTGCAAGGTGGGCAGGAGGGGGCGAAAAAAATCTGTTTCTGAACCGAGGCTCGAACCTGGACTTTCGGCTTCGGAGACGAGGGCATTAACCGCTCTGCCACCGCACCCTCTTTGCTAG